ATTAAACACTTAATTACTATACTTTAGTTAGTTTTGTCAGTTTAACGTATAGTTATAGTTATAGCCTTAACCTTCATCTATATATTTATTGTATATATATATATGTCTCCATTAAATCAAAAATCAAAAAGATTTCACTGACTTTTTTTTAATACATTTTTAATATGAACTGAAAAAAAGTAATTTGTTTGTCGACTATTTTCCCATATTATGAATTCAGATTTGATTGATATCGAAAGTCATTAAATTTTTATAGTTGTTATATATATTATTTATAGTTTTTTTTGTTGTTGTTGTTAACTATCAAAAAGACCAGAGTCACTAATATTACTACTATTACTACTACTATTATTATTACCTATACTATTATCTGATGGTTAAAATTATATGATTTCATAAAGTGCTGCGAAAAATATATATATATATATAAAGCCGAGAGCAATAAATATAAAATAATAATAATATAAAATAAAATAAAAGTTTAGGAAAAAAATTCATTGAATTTTTTGTTGGTGTTATCAAAACATTTGTAATGCCATGTAATACATGTATAGTGTAGTACTGATCGATGAGATAGTAGTAGTAGTAGTAAAACATATTACAAGTTTTTGACTATTGATTGAAATTTTTTGTGACTTTTTTTTGCACTAATTTTTTTTGCTGATGTTGTTGTTGTTCATCACTCTTAGACTGTATTTTACGATAACTTATTGCTTACATATACTGTATATAAATTTTTATACAGTATTACTACTACAACTATCCAATGGTAGTGTCATTTTTTATGTGTATGTGCGATAAATATTAGGACTATATATAGGGGGGGTGGGTTGCAATTGGCAATGTTATGGAGGGCTATCAATATATATATATAATATAATATATAAATGTATGTAATATTTGTTTGATGTTACGATTGCTATTATTGTGTTACTTTTTTTGTAGCTTTTACTCTATCTACCTGTGCTGAAATACCTGTCCTCTATCTATCTATTCTCTCTCTTTTCAATTTTATTGTGTACAGTATATGTGTGATGCCTACTAGAATCACTGTGACGCCCATACCTACACTACATGTTTGACCAGTTTTGCTCTGCCTATTATGTAATGAACCTTTGCTTATGAGTCGAAAAACACTTTAATGTATCTCTGATTATATAATTTTTTCATATATGCATTCTCCACACTATATATATATTATATAATAATAATAATGTCTATAGTCGTCTACTAATATACCTTACTCTCCCTACAGTGACAGCCATTAGATGGTAGATATATATACTGTATATTGTGCCGACACAAACAAGTTGTGTTGGTTGGCCTATGAGTGCCATTCTCTCTCTCTCTCTCTCTCTCTCTCTCTCTCTCTCTCTCTCTCTCTCTCTCTCTCTCTCAGTTAGTCCTGTCCTTTCGTGATCACATCAATACCAATGACATTAGCCATCATAAGTGACTATTTTTTTATTTTTAAGAGAAAAAATCACTGATGGCATGCAATAACCAAACAACACAATTATTATTGTCTATCATATATACTGTATATACAGTATATATATATTTGTTTATAAATATATATTAAATAAATAAGTTGTTCTCCAAAACTGTGATTTTTTGGCCAATCATTTCATAAGTAATAATAATAATAATAATAATATTTTTATCGTTAATTTCTTTCCTATCATTACTGTAATGATTAATGAGCTCAACGTTAGGAACAGATAGAAAATCACTAAAAAACATCACTTAAAACAATAATAAAAATATTTTGTAAGCTTTTTTTGACATCTTTTCAAAAGTTGTTATTTTTGAATCCATATCATTAACACATGAAATGTGTACTCACTTTACAATTTTTCTCTCTCTCTCTAAACCAAAGCAATATATTTATATATAAATATATGAAAATATTCTTTACTATTCGTATATATAATTTTTCTTTCAAACCTTAATGACAAAAAAATTGCTCCAAAATTGACTTTTTTCTTCAAAAAAATAAAAACTGTTGGATATCTATGACAAACCTTTCTCTCTCTCTCTCTCTCTCTCTCTCTCTCTCTCTCTCTCTCTCTCTCTCTCTCTCTCTCTCTCTCTCTCTCTCTTCACACAATCACTAACTAAGAGTAGGTCTAAATGAATGTATCGTATGTTTGCCATCGTTTGCCATCTGTTGTTGTGACCATATCTGTAGTTATCTACATATATATACTGTATATACAGTATATATATGTATAGATATAAAATATAAGTTAGCTATAGATTGAGCCTAACTCTTGACTTTAACTAAACTTTTGTTATTATTATTATTATTTATAATTAGACTGGTTTTTTCTGTACAAAAAAACTAAAAGTTTTATGTATATAAAAATATATTGTCTATTATAGACTGATATTATTGAACTCATTTAAAACATGATTGCAATTATTTATAATAATTTTTTTTGTTAACCGAAAGTTAGAAAAAAAATTGAGAACTAATTATTGTTGAAAATTACAATTAAAATCTATATTTAATTACATTTAATTATTTTTCAGTGTTTGTATGTATGTATATATAATATATATGTGTTTGACTTAAACTAATATTAATGATAATTAATTTAAACTTTTTTCTTGTATAATAATAATAATAATAATAAAACTAATTTTGTTCAATATAATTATGTTATTAATTTTTGTTATCAATATTGTGTTAAATTGTTATTTTATAAAATGCAAAATAATTGTATTGCAAAATAGTTTTTTTTGTTAAGTTTATATATATGTTAAATGCAATAAACTAATATAATTGCCTAAATAATTAGCATTTATTACACATTTTAAAAAATTATTTCACTTTTATTTAGTTGTAAACCTTAGGTGAGATAAAAAAAAGTATAGATAATCTGACCTTTTAATTAAACCGATTGTTTGATTAACATAAAAATTAATTACTTAAAAAAATTTGTTAAATATATGTAATATATATATATTTAAGTGTTTATTATTTCCTATTAATTTTTTAAAAAAAACTTAACAAATACACTTATATTTGATATTATTAATTTCATTATCAGTTATCTAATTTAAAAATTAGTTAATATATTAATTTTTTTAAAAAAAATAGTTAATAAATTACTGTCGAAAATTTATTATTTGTTACCAATTGTTTTTTAGTATATTTTAAAAAAGCAAATATATGTTTCAAATATTATTATACAATATTTTCTGTACTAGTTTTGACTTTATATTTCGATATTTCATTCAACTAAAAAATATAATATTATATGAAATAAGTTAATAAAATTTTTTTTAATAGTTACGCGTTTTGCTTAATTTATAATATTGTAATAATAATAATAATAATGAAGTTTGTATTATATAATATATATGTTAACCACTGAAAGTCCACACAAATACATAGCCATATTACATGCTAACTGTCAGTTAATGCAAATTATCTTTTAATTGCAATTAAATGTTATAAATTGTTTCAAAATAAAAAAACTTGTTTTTTGCATTTATATATACTGTATATATATATAAAGTATATATGATATGTAAAGTTATTGCTATTATAAAAAATAATATATATATAAATGTTTTTAATATAATGATTATTATTATTATTATTATTCTTAATATTGACCGAAACAACGTTTAATGACATGAACTTTGTTTTTTGTATTTTAAATTTTTTTGAATTAATTTGCATTACTCTACAAATATTATATAAAAATTTTTTTAAAGCAACAAAAATCTGTCCTTTTTTCTGTGTGTGTAATAATAAAAGTGGTTTGTTGTGCCGTAAGTTTTATTTATTTTTTAAATATTATTATTATTATTACTATTATTTATTGAGCCAAAATAATTAAAATTAACGAAAACACACTGTAATTTTAAATTGGACATACCAGTTTGAAATTTAATTGTTATTAATTGTTAATTTTGTTTTATATATATATATATAGATACTGTATAAAAATTTATATACGATATTAATGTTTCAAAAAAATAACTTTTAATTGAATGGTCGTTTAGTTGCGTGTATATTATTATTATTATTATTATTATTATTATTATTAAAAGCAATTACATTTATATGAAATACTATTTGAAAAATTATTATTATTATTATTAGTTATTTTTTCTGACATAAAGTTTGTATATCCAGTTTGTATGTGTGGTGTCTGTCATTGCATTTTTTTTGATGACTAACTAAGAAATATGAGTTTCATTTTTTTAAAGATATGAGAAGCCATTCATCATCTCATTTAATAACAATTTTGTTTCAAAAAAATAAACATAAATAAATTTAAAGAATAACTAATAAGTAACTAATTTCATGTTTTTTGCTTATATTAATACTGCAATGAAAATGAAATAAATACTTTTAAACTGTTTTAAATAGATAAAAATTGATGTATATTTTATATTGTATAGATATCTATGTTGTATCTATCTTTATGTTCAATAAATATAAAGTATATAATATATATATATATACTGTAATAAATTAAATTAGATTTTACGTTAATAGGGCATTGAAAAGGGGGGGAAGAAAATATCATTTTGAAAATTTTTTTTAAGAGATTAATATCTAATTAAGTGGTTATTTACTATCAAACGGCAATCCAAACCACCACTAATTGAAGTCAATTGATAGATATATTATATTTATATGGTTGGGGAGCGCCTGTAAAGAAGTATAACTTAAGTGAACTGTTTGTAGTGTTGGGAAAGTCACTTTGGATACCGGTGCGGGTGTACAGGATGTAGGGGCGCTCTGTCATCAATTTGTATTTTGATATATAATACAAACATTTATATATACTGATATATATACTGTATAATACCTTAATATAAAGTTACATAATATATATATGTATATGTGAGCGACTGATTATATAATATATATATTATAGATATTACATAACTAATTAAATAGTGATTAAGATGTTTAATGTAAATAATATTATTAATAATACTAATGGTTGCTATTTGTATGTTTCATTGGACAGACCTACCGACACAAGTGCCGCCACTAACGCCCGGCACCAACCAAAAGATGACACAGGCATTGACGGCCAGCTTTTATAGTTGGGACAAACAGAGAGAAGCACTCAACATAACTAAAGGTATGTCAACCTAATATTTAATACTTGTTTTCCAGTTATGGACGACCAGTTAGTTTGTTAGTTAGTTGGCTAACACACAAAAAAAAACAAATTATCAAAGGGTGCAACTGTTGTGTCGCTAACTACTACTACTACTACTACACTGACCCCCGTGTAGTAGTAGTAGTAGTAGTTGTGTGTATACCTCACACATATTTATTGAAACGATTTAAATTGAAACTACAAATACTAATAGCAATAATATAATAATATTGTAATAATATATTGACACAACAGGTGTATGTGATCTGAATTTTTCAACAAAAATAATATTAATATTAGTATTAATAATAATAATAATAATAATAAGTAATGTTTGCTTTATGTGGCGCACCGGTAGATCCTCGCCAGTGGTCCGAACTTGATGTCAACGATTGGCTAGTCTGGGCTATCCGTGAGTTTTGTCTGGAAGGTGTCAATACTACCAACTTTATGTCAATGAAAGGCAAAGACATGTGTAACTTAGGAAAGGAGGCTTTCCTAGCCCGGGCGCCCCCTTTTATGGGCGACATTCTATGGGAACACTTGGATATACTTCAAAAAGGTTTGCACCTGAATTTTTGTCTAACCATTACTTTATATATTTTTTTTATAAATGAGTGCAATCATACCTGTGCTCTCTCTCTCTCTCTCTCTCTCTCTCTCTCTCTCTCTCTCACTCACTCACTTACTCACTCACTCACTCACTCACTCACTCACTAACTCTTTTTGTTTTCAATTAACACATAATTTTTATATGTTTACTGTTAACTCTAATTTTTTTTTAATAGAAATTATTTGTTTTTTACCAAATTATTTAGTTTTAGTGCTATTTTTTTAAAATGTTTATATTTATTATTAAATGCTAAGCATATATGTACTGTAATTATTTATATATATATATATATTTAATAATCGATTAATTTTTTTTCATACCAAACAAGTGATAAATTGATATTAAATTAAATTGCTATATATTTTTATTTTATTTTAATAATCAAATATTGACTATTAAATAGTAAATGTATTTCAGATGTCATGTAATGATAGGTTGACGAACTGATTATCGCAGGAAATCATATATATATTTATATTTTTTACAGTGATTTTTATCACTTAAAATACCACAAATAAATTAATTCAATCACAACTGGGATACAGTATAACAACTATAACAATATATATATATATATATATATATATATATATATATATATATATATATTACTTGTTTTCATATTTGTTTTATTATTATTTTTAAATTAAATATATATTGCATCCAAGGCTCTGAACTTCAGATATGTATATACAGTACAATAAAAAATAGTTTAATAAATATGCGCTAAAATTCTTGTATTTTGTTTAATAGTCTAGAAATTTATTTAAAAAAATATTTCTATGACCATAAAAAGTTTGAAAAAAATAATTATTATTAAATAAATTTATTTTTTAAATATATTTTTATATATAATGACATTTTAGACAAAAGAATAAATTACATTTAAAATATATATAGTTTTTTTTGTTAAACCTTATATATATTAGAGTCCAGAAAATCTAATATATATAAAGATATATATATATATGTCTGACAATTAAAATGATAATAATAATAATAACAATAATAATAATAATGACATGAATGTGTGGATCGCTGTTTGAATCTATGGAGAGTTGGCTCACAATTTTGTTAAATAATAATAATTTTTGTTTTCTAGTTAAAAAATAGTTAATTTATTATATATTTATAGTGTATTTAAATGAAAACAGGTTTCGGGATCTCTCTCTCTCTCTCTCTCTCTCTCTCTCTCTCTCTCTCTCTCTCTCTCTCTCTCTTTCTCTCTGAGAGAGAGAGGAGTTAAATAACAATTTAAAGAGTATATAAAAATTAAATAATAGTATATATATATACTATATATATGTAATATTTATTGTGTATTCAAACAGTGTATACACTTTTAAAAAGGCGTTTTCATGTATTACTTGAAGCGTAAAGAGCTATATGAATAGATTGGTAGAGAAAGAGAGAGAGAGAGAGAGAAGTGCTATAAAATGTATTGTATTATCATATGAATTATACATAATATATGGTATATATATGTATATATTAATGGTTATGTAATATATTTGTTGTGCTCCAGCTCTTCCATTCAATCAAACCAATAGTTTTCCGTTTGGCATCACTATTGTTAACATCCGTTGATGTGTTTTTTATAGTTAGTGATGGTTTTACTACTCTATACTATTAGATGTGATGGAAATAATAATTTTTTTGTTAAATGAATTCCTATAGTTAGGGACAGAGAGAGAGAGAGAGAGAGAGAGAGAGAGAGAGAGAGAGAGAGAGAGAGAGAGAGAGAGCTGATTGTTGATTGCTTTAGTAGTGTTGGTGTTGCGATGCACCTCACGATCCCATTATCTAATCCCCCAATTGTTGGGACAATTCATTGCACTTGTCGTTGTTGTAGTAGTAGTAGTTGTCACCCAAATATAGCCATAATTTGCTGATTAGTCAATATAGGGCTGCACTGATTGTCATCGTTCTACCCCCTCATTGGCTGTCCCTTTAAATGAATATAAACATTTAATATGATATTTACTCGACTATTTATTATTATTATTATTATTATTATTATAAACTAATATATACATAATATTGTTATATTGAATCCCAATCTCAATGCCATTAGTTAACAAACTATTAGCAGTACTATCGGACGTTTCTATAATATACAGTGACATTCAAAAAAATATCAATTTCTATATTAATGTATTAATAAGTGATATATAATATTAATAATTTATAGTAATCACTAACTGATTATTCAATTATTAAATACCAGTGCTTTATATATACAGTATATCATCCGAAAACCTTGTCGTTGCTGTAGCTGTTGTTGTTGTGTTGTCACTGACATACAGACAGGTAGTGGACATTACCATTACATCCTCACTGAGCTATTATATTGCAAATAAATAGTATTATTTTAGATATATATATATCCGTCCGATTGAATTACCAGTCAATTTTTTCTACTGACAATAGTTTTGTTAATTGTAATCATTTTACTGTAATTTATTTCATTAAAAAGGGAAGTCTATTAATTGTCTATAAAATTCTCATATTCCTACCCCAAAACAACACTAAATAATAATAATAATTTATATATATATATATTATTATTATTATTAATTCAAATTCAATTAAACTGTCGGTTTCAGTTGCTATTAGCCATTCATTGCGTTAACAACACAAACGAGTGGCTAAATAAATAAATATATATATAATTTATTTATCACTTGATTTAATTATATTTAATTTGTTGCTAATAATTACTAATCTAAGAAAAAATTTGTTTCAAAACTTATTAAATATATATATATCTATTACAATTAGTTTTATTATTATATAATACTGTATTTATATATATAGTATATTATACTGTCATAATAATAGAAATTTATATTTTTATAATATAATATAAATAAAATATAAAATAAAAAAGTTATGAATCATACTAAGCAGTGCCCGTGTTATGTGATTATTAGTAGTATTATTATTATAGACATTAATAATAGTTTCATAAATAGATATCTATTTACTAATCATTTATGTTTCGCTATTACTTAACTACAACAATGATATATATATATATTTTCGTTTATATTATGTTTAATGATTTTTTGTTTGTTTGTTTGATGTGATGATAATAATGATGATATTTAATGATTGTGTTCCCCCTCTCCACAAAAACCCCTCCACACAGAGGTAGATAAGGAACGGTCATCGTCGACGACATCACTGGAGAACGTACCGTCCAATTACTACGAGCCCTGTATGCCTGACTTTAACGAATTTTTCCAACAATCGGGCCCCGGCTATACACTGGCCAACGAACAAAAGGCTACGCCAGTGATGAACGGTACGGCCATTAGCAGCAGCGGTGGCGGTCCATCGTCATCGGTAACCACTACCACCACCATAGCCAACAGTCCCTCAACCAATGGATCATTCACTGACGGTAAGCCTCTCATACATACATACATACAATTGATTGATATTAATGTCAATTACTATTAAATATATTATATTTGTATAAATTCATTGACACTACAGTGCCATTGCCATTGCCTTATCTTTTTGTTGTTGTTGTTGTAGTAGTAGTTGTTGCTGAAATGTAATTTAATATTTATTACCCGAAACACTAATTTTCACGACTTATTAAAGCCAATCATTGGATGAGAGAGAGAGAGAGAGAAAGAGAGAGAGAGAAAGAGAGAGAGAGAGAGAGAGAGATTGCAATATTTTTGTTGTTGATCTCTACTTCACTCTCAATAAGCAATACACAAATAATAATAATCATATATTCATAATAATAATCGTAATAATAGCAAAAATAAATATATAAATAATGAGCTTATAGTGATGTGTGTGTGTGTGTGTGTGTGAGTGTAGTGACTGGTTTTGTAAATTATTAGTCTGGGTTGTCATATGCCCTCTCTCTCTCTCTCTCTCTCTCTCTCTCTCTCTCTCTCTCTCTCTCTCTTCGAACCCTCAATTGATTTCAACTATCAATTAAAGCCAAAATTTATTTAACGTTAAGTTAATATATAAATAATATACTGTATATAAAAATATATGTACTTTTTTGTGTGTGAGTGTGTGTGTGTGTGTGTACTTGTTATCCAAATTTATTTGGCAATTGTTATTCATAAATAACTACTATCTCTTGATGACTGACTGTTTGTGTGTGTCTATATGTATGCATTTTTCTATCGGGGGAGGACTGGGAGTTTCAGCAGCACTGGTATCTCGTGGGAAGGTTTTTTTGTTATGCTGGAGACTGACTGTGTGTGTATATATGTGTGTTGTTGTTGTTGAGCTCAATTATATATCATTTAAATTATGATTATTATGAATATTATTAGTTTTTATTAATGACAATCCATAAGAAACAATAATAATAATAATAATAAATTGGGTTTTAGTTTGTTTTTATAGCTATTATTGTCTATTTATTGAGTTTTTTCTCATTTCTATCATTTCACTCATTAATTTTAATAAATAATAAAATCAATTAGAAAATTGAATGACATTTTTAATATATTCAAACATTAGTTAATTTATATATATATTTATTTTGGAGCCTTGAATTGATTAATTAATACATTGAATTTATGATGAATTAATAATAATATATATATAGAAATAAATTAATAGATTATTATTATTATGTTGTTGTTGTTGATGTCTATCAATTGAAATAATATTATGCATATTATGTGCAATATATTGTTTGCCCTTTAAAGTTGAAGTCAACATTTGAATTAGTGGTTACTTATTATAATATATAATATAATAGACAACAACAACAACAAAAAGTAAACATAACATACAAAAACATATAACAAATACTATAAGTCTGACACAACATTACTAAAGTATTACTACTACTACTACTACTAGTAGTCCTCACTATATATATTAGGGTCAGTGCTGTGGAAAAACATTTATCTCCGGATAGCGCCGGAAGTTAACTGTTTATTAAACATATTATTGTTGTCGACAAATATATATATATATATATATAAACCGCAAATGATATGCACTTCAACTCCACTTTTCCCCCAAAAAACGGCATACCTTTTCATACCTTTCTTCTATCGCTCTCTCTATTTCTCATTCATTAAAACCCACTATTGAAAGGCCTGTCAATTGAAAGCGAATCTGCCGTTTCTTGTAAAGGAAATCCATTTTTTTCGATTCAATTACTCTATTAATACCAGAGAGAGAGAGAGAGAGAGAGAGAGAGAGAGCTCTGGTATGTATTATCAGTTAATGTTGTAATCGGAAAAAATTATATATATTTTTTGTTAAGACTAATCTCTCTCTATCTCTTCAATGATGTTATAGTTTAGTGATTAAAAAAAATGTTTTTACAAATTTTTGTTGTTATTGATGTTGAGTTTCTATCTCATTAAACATTTAGATATTTACGTTAAGCTAATCTTATTATAAATATATAAATATAAATAATTTGTCGGAAATTTGTAAAGTATTTTTAAAAATTTTTATATTATTTTTTTTAATCTAATATTAGTTTAAGCAAAGAATTTTGTTTTCATTTAAATATTTTCTCATTAAAAATAATTTCTGCAAAATTTTAATCTCAAATTATTATTTTTATGATAGAGTTTGACTGTTAGATATAATATATTATATTTAATATAAACAATACTTTATAAAGTAAATGTTTTTATAAAATGGCTATCATTTTAAGACACTATAACAGTATTAAAAATTGTTATGGCATTTAATTATTGTTATAATTATAGAAAGTTTTAATAATAAAAAAATTATTAAAATTAAATACTTGAACGGATGTTTTGATAAAATTATAAATATTGAATTAATAGTTTAAATATTTATCATCTATAATGTAATTATATTACAAACTAAATTTATAAATATCATATGAAAACTTTTAGCAACTATTATTAGTTTTTATATTTGTTAAGCATTTTACTATTATTATTATTATAGATATTTGTATCTTTAGACATTAGTGTCTAGTTTTACAAAAAAATAGTTTTATTGCCAAATGTGCAAATCAAATAACATTAGACATACATTTTAGTTTTTTAATTTTATTTGAAAAACAATTAGCAGATAATATCGTTAGCAAACTAATAGCAATAAAAGGGAGACAATTATAGACCCTTTATATTCACATTGAATTCACACAATAATATATATATATATATATATTAATAAATTCATATGAATAATATAGTGAAATAATAAAAAAGAGTATTATTTCATTGCTTGCGGTCATAAATATTAAAATACAGAATAAATATAAATATATGTATGAATATTGCTATTAAAAATGTATTTATTTGTAAAGTGTTTGATGATGTGCTGTTGTTTTAATATTATTATTATTATTAGTATTAGTATATTATTAGAAAAGAGAGTATCATATATTTTTTGCACTACTATTCCCACCACTACTACTACTTGATGGGGCAAATGATTGTTTAAATATATATAACCCATTAAATACCATATATATAATATATAATTCATGTTTAGCCTTGATTTCGTTCAGCAACTAATTGTTTGTTAGAAATATATATATATTATATTAACTTTTTCTATGGTGTAAAGTGAGCAAAAAAAAATATTAGGCATAAAAAGGCATTGCATTTATAGTATTTTTATGCTATAGTCGACAATAATAGTGAACAACATCTGCTGTATCGGCACTCACTCGGGTATAGTTATAGTCAGTCAGTCAGTCAGTAATAATCATCAGACCAACAGCGCCTGTGCCTGGTTTCTGGTCTGGTCTCACACAAACCCAGTGAACCAACTTTTTCTCAATAATGCCTATCCCTCTCCTCCTACCCTAGTTTTGTGTTAAACTTTTTTTTTATATATACATATTCTCATATATATATACCAAACAAATTGTATTATATATATATATGATATACTATTGAAAAGATCACATTTTGCGTCAAACCCTTAAAAAGTTTTTTTTAGTGGACATCCAATATATTGCTGGCACACACATACACACACACAGTAGTGTGATTGCTATCATATAATAATTTAAGTGTCGGCGCCGGCATATCATCGACTAACTAACTCTAACCCCTTAAGAAACAAAAAACTTTCAAAAATTAACTCTTTGTTTCAACAAATAAAAAAAAGCCAAAAGTCGTCTAATATTTTTCAAATGTGTTTTATTATAGATTTGTGTACGAATTGTATTGAGTAATTTGATATCATTTTTAAAAAAAAAGTTTATATATATATATATATATTTCAAAAAAAGTACTTAAAGTTTAATCTTTATTTCAACTTTTTTTTTAATTTTTATTATTATTATAATATAAATAACACCATAAACTTCAACGACAAAAATATTTTGTTGCCCAAAGAATTTGTTGTCAAAACATATCGTAAATTATAAGTTTGTTTATAATATACAATCTGTATATGAAAAGTAAGAGAATATGTTATTATTATTCTTTAATTCATTTTATTTAATATATAATTATTTATAAATTTTTTGTTGTTTATTATAATTATGAAATATTATGATAATATACTTTATTAACTTAAAAGTTTATACTGTATATTAAAAGCTACAAATTATATTTGAATTAAACCCGATTGTACTACTAATGTTGATGACATACATTTTTGTGCACAAAAAAATGTATGACCACCTGTCCAATGCATGGCTGACCTATTCATTCATTCATTTATTATATATATATATATTTTTTGATTGCAAGGCTTATGTATAGTCACCCGTTATGTGTAGACTTCCTGTCCGGTGATTTGTAAGTCAATTGATTAGTGCGAGAAAAAAAGTGTAATACCTTAGCAAATAGAGAGAGAGAGAGAGAGAGATGCAAACCTTAAATGTTAAATGAATCAATCGGCCGATGCTTGTGAGAGCCACCCTAACGGTGTGCTTCCTGTCCAAATTACCTCCCCTTCCACCTCCTTAAACAGTTTGTGATTTAATTCACAGTAATATTACAATTGTATTGACAGAGTTAGAGAGAGAGAGAGAGAGAGAGAGAGAGAGAGAGAGAGAGAGAGAGAGAACTTCCGTTCCCTATTAAATGCCTTCTTTTAAAAGCCTAAAAATAACAGTACTTTCATTTGTGTGTTTAAATAAATATACTGTAATAATATGATAATAAAATAGTTTTCTTTCCTTTTTTTTGAGGTCTTTAGGTAAATGTCAGTGAAAACAGAGTGATTGTGGTTTACAAACCTATTTCTCACTATAAATCTATTGATTTGATGAACACATATATATATACATAATGTATATAATGCTGTATTATATCTATTGATTATAGGATTTACGATTTTCCGTTCAAAATTGATGATTATGTTGTCTAACATTTTTATTGCTTATACTGTATATATACAGTGTATATAGTCTATTAAATTATAATTTAAAATTACTTTCATTGGTATTTTTTTCAATTAATCTGCTGATAAATTATATATATATATATATGTTTAATTAATTAACCTAAAAAAATTGATTTAATACTGAAATTTTAATTGTCCAAAAAAACTATTTAAAAAAAGTTTTCGACATTATATAATTGAGTGTTTCATAAATTATATATCTCTGAGATTAGGCAATAAAATAGTTATATCAACATATATGAGGTAATAGCTCTATAAAAATAATCAAAAAAAATCATTGACTAACTTAAATGTAGTGCCAATTAAAAGTAGTTTTATATTTTCTTTTTCTATAGTATTTTACTTTATCATTATCATTGTATCACAAAATAGATATATAATATTAGAAAAAAATAATAAAATAAAATTTAATGTTTGGCCACATTAAGTACAACATTGAGTTAGTTTAGTACAACCGACGGTATATATTTAAATGGATGAAATTTTTTTTGTTGGTATATAAGCCGTTTGCCATCTGCTGCCATACCTTCATATATATATATGAGTTCCAATAGATATGATATATATTACATATAAAAAGAAAGAGAGAGAGAGACAGACACCAGAAAACAGGCGCTAAAACAACATTTGGTTCTTGTTTTTTACGGTCAACCGCTTCTCAAAAAAAACTATTATAGGTTTCACTTATTATTAGTATTTTTCTCTATCAAAGTTAGTAATAATAACTTATTATTGTTTTTTTAAAACATTGCAAATGATTGCTCAATATATTCAATAAGAGAGAGAGAGAGAGAGAGAGAGAGAGAGAGAGAGAGAGAGAGAGAGAGAGAGTTTTGAATGACAGCCTCAATATTCACTGATTATTGCACATTATATAAACACTACTTTTTATACGTATATATATATATGTGTTTTATATGATTACAATGAATGCCATCAATATATATATTATATTTCATGAATATTATGGCACTGGTTGTCTAAACAACGCTTTTTTTAAAAAAATAGTTACTAATAATTTTTATTAATAATGTTTTGTATCATTAATTTTGATTTTTTTTATTTAATTTGTTTGATATGATATGATAGCTCCGTCCTATCTACACATTACCGAATCGATGCTTACGTTAAACGATTGTCATGACGACCTGGCCCTCGGCCACAGTCGCTATGAGGACAACCACGACGGCTACGGTCTGGACAGTCAGACGACTACCTTTCTGGACGGTTCCGAATTCTATCCGACCGCCCATCTGATGACCGAAAGTAAATATTCGCCACAATTCACAACAAATAAAGCTTACAATAATAGAGGTCCGAATAATCGCCTCTTTGGTAATTATATGATGATTAGTAGTGCCTATAATGCATGTGCGAGGGATGACCTGTTAATTGGCATGTGTTAAGTGTTGTTTGTCTTACTTTATAGAATACCGTATAAACATATATCTATATCTACCTACCTGTCCATAAAACTATATATATTAATATATGTATAATTTTATTGCATGTTATTGTCTATTGTCTCAAATTTATTAGTAATAAAGCTATATATATACTGTATATATGTACTAAAATTTTTGTTTATGTGAATTTTTTATTGATTTTTATGGTTTTATTTTTGTATTTAAAATAAATAGGTCGGTATCCGACACATGACATGAATGCAATGGTCGACTACTCGTCACATCAATACGAACCGCCACTCCAGACGGTTCCGTCATCAGTACCGCCGACACCGTCGCCAGAGCAATGGCCACAGGAAATGAGTCCGCACAGCAATAGCGGTACACCAAATGGTTTATCGGGTGGTCCGCCACAACACCATAACCAGCACGTCGGTGGTCAACAACAGCAACATCACGGCCAACAACAACAACAACAACAACAGTCGCATCATATCACACATCATAATCCGCACACGACATACACACAGTTACATCACATCCGAGACACAAACAATCAGGCGCTGACACACTTGTCCCAAATGCATAGTCCAAGTACTCAACACCACCATCAACCGCATCAGACACTATCATTGCATAGCAGTCAGACAACCATCGATGGAAAGCCTGTCATTCAAGCGGCTGTTCTCGCAGGTAATCACACGTTACATCTGTTTTTTTATATGATGGGTCGAGATGTGTGTGTGTGTGTGTGTGTGTGTGTGTCTCATACACTATCATAATAAGGGACACATAGTTACTAATATATATATATATATATATATATATAGTTGTGTGTGTGTGTGTGTGTGTGTGTGTGTGTGTGGAGAGAGAGAGAGAGAGAGAGATCTTGATGTGCGAGAACCGCCCGCACAGACAGACACTAATTAGTGGCGGAAACGCGTAGACATACGAAACGCCGCCGCCTTTGCCAACAAATGTTAGCTTTTATTATTAGTAACACTGATTTTTTTTTCTCTCTCTCAAAGATTTGATTTTTTTTTGAAAAATAGTTTTTCTGTTTACTTTTCTTTACTAAAAAACACATATTTACACAATCAATACACCTGTTGTTTTGGTGGTGTGATTGTTGTGTGCTGTCGTGTCCTTAACCATAAGCCACATACACACACACACACAAGTCTTAACCTAATAAAGTAACGTTTGCTTTTTTTAAGCTAAATATAATTACTTAATTGGTTTTTATTTTTATTTTATTTTTTTTGTTTGCTTTTTTATTATGCAATTTGAGTAGGGAGTGGACCGATACAGTTGTGGCAGTTTTTACTGGAACTGCTGACAGACAAGGCCTGCCAGAGCTTTATCTCGTGGACGGGTGACGGCTGGGAATTCAAACTGACCGATCCCGATGAGGTGGCCCGTCGATGGGGTGTCAGGTATGCATTTAATTCATTGAATTGTGTGTAAAATAATACAACAATTACTAATAATTATGTTTTTTTATTTTAGGAAAAATAAACCAAAAATGAATTACGAGAAACTAAGTCGAGGACTTCGCTACTATTATGACAAAAACATTATCCATAAGACAGCCGGCAAACGATACGTCTACCGGTTTGTCTGCGACCTCCAGTCCCTACTGGGCTACAGTCCTGAAGATTTGCACGCAATGGTTGATCTCAAACTTGAAAAGAAAGACGACGACTAAAACTAAAAACTTTTTATTTGTCTGATTTTATTTTTTTTTTGGACACACAATACAAAACAAAACAAAACAATATATTATATATGATATCTGATAATTGATATCAAATACTAATAGTTGTTAATTATTATTATTATTATTAATTGATAATTATATTATTATTATTATGTTGATATAATACTGTTCTGAACTGACAAGTCCTGTCCGCCGCCCCCCCCTCCCCTTAATCTGGTCACACCGTTTAGACACCTTATATATATATATGCAATATTTGCATATAATTATATTGCACATTAATATTTGATAAAATTTGGATTCAAATTTTTGTTTGTTTGTTTGTGTTTAATTTTAACACACAATATATAATATAATTGCACAGAAAAAATATCACAAAATTTTTTTTAAGTGACTTTAATTTTTTTTGTTGAGGTTATGTTTTTAATAAAAAAAAATTTAATTAGTGGCCATTGATAGCGATGCTTAACAAACAGTTAAAAAAATTAATAGTCGCAGCATTGAAGACATATTATTATTATTTTTAATTTTTTTATATATATCATAAAACTAGTCTTAATTAATTAATTAATATATTATATATGTTTTAAACCGAAACCGATGATACAATTTTTTGTTTTGTACGAAAGAGATAGAAATTTTTTTTTAAATTTTAAAATCATCTAAATATCAATATAATGAATACCATTGAATCTAATATAATAAAACAAAAACGATATGGCATTCAAACCAAAGAACATATACATTGTATTTATTTTTAAAAAAACGAATAATTTGAATATTAAAAACAAAAAATTATGATTTTTTTATATATACAATGTTATCAATTCATATCAGACACACTATTACCTAATTTTTCTACATTAATACACACACTCATAGACACACACATTGAAAAAAATAATATAACAAAAAAAACAAAAATTTGTTATCAATTATACCTATAATTCAACAACTTGTCAGTGCTTTACATCGAATATTAATTTTTATTTTTTACAAAAAAACATAAATTATTAATAATTAATTTTTTTTGTTTGAGAAAATTTGTGATCCGTTTTGTTGTTGTTTTTGAAGTTTTTGTTTCATTTCAAACCAGCAATCAATCAGTTGTGGCGGTGTTTTTGGGGGATAAATACATATATATATATATTACCTGTAAATCCAGTGATTATGCAATTGTTGTCATTTTTTTAAATAGTCTTTTATATAATATATATAAAAAAAATTTATATAAATATATTTCGTAAAAAATTATTATATAATTAATAATACAATTTTTTTATATTAATTACTTTTGTACTACTATTACAACAACTATACTGTCCTTAATTATGCCTTAACAAAAAAAAATACAATGAAATTATTGTGAAATAACTACTAATTTTATTGGATAAAAAACCAAATGAAAGTTTTCTATCAGTGCCTTATATATTGGTATTAAAAATCAGTTAATAATTTATTTGCAATCTTATAATTGAAAATAATGATTTTATTATAATAGTTATATATATTAATTAGTTTGAAAAAAATATATATTAATATATATGTAAGGCTTGGTTATGAACTTTATTTTGCATATAAATATAACATAAGTTTTTCCTATAATCTCGTGATTCCTGTCCATAATAATTATTTTTAAAAAAATAATCGGGTGCTCAAAATTATTTATGTATTATCCAGTAATAGGTATTACCGGGTAATTATCCTATTTGTTAATATAATTTATAATATGACTAAACTTGTATATGTTAATTATTTGATTGACTAAAACAAAACTGATTATAATTTTTTTAATTTTAGAAAGAGATAACACATGATTTTACTGTAAATTTTATTAATATTATTATAATTATGTTTTAAATGTATTTCTTTAGTCATTATTAATGATTTATATATATGTTTATATATAAGTTTAATTATCAAGTTTTTTAGCGCCGACTGACACATACAATAACAACACACATAAACTTACACACACTGTATAATAGCTCAATATATAACATTCATATTATTATTTTAATTATTATTTTAATTAATATTATTACTATTATTTTATATTATTATTATTATTATGAAGTATAAAAACGAAAAAAAAGTTTTATATATATATATATAATTAAAAATAAATTTTATAACGAAATATATATCTTTTTTTTATAAAAAAAATCTCATTTCATATATAAATATATATAAATTATTTAATAGAAAATGTCTTTCTGTTTATGTAATTAAACAATATTATCTATAATTATTATTAATAATATAAATATATATTATATATATATTATATAATTAAATCATAAATTGATATTAAAAACATTTTAAACTTGTTTATTATTAATTACATTATTACAGATATATAAATAAATATATATATAAATATTGTGCATTAGAAATATGAGTTATTGAAAAAAACTAAAATATTAAACCAATTTTTTAGTGCCTTATAATTGAATTTTTTTAAATAAATAAATAAAAATAATTATATAATTTATTACGAATTTTTGTATTTATTCCAGTATTTTCGTAAATTATTATTATTATTATAATCTATTATTGTATAACAGTATATATAAATATAGTTTTTTTTGTAAATGTTACCAAAGTGTATGTATAAAAATTAAAAATAAATAAATAAATTTTTATCATTTATTTCTATCAAATCCAAAATGTTTTTATTTATTTGCGTTTCAATACTACCGGTATTACATAATAATAATATTAATAATAATACTTGATTTATCAACAAAAAAACATATACCGTAAATATCAAATTATATGTTATATATATTAAGCATTTTGTGTAATTTGTAGCAATAATTTTGTTGTTATTGTGAATGTATAAACATGAGGCAAATGCTGATAAAATAAAAATATCATTTATCATAAAAATAATATATAAATATATATATATTAATAAATATAATTTTGATTTAAATAAAAAAAACAAAACAAAATATTATATCACTTCATTTGATGAAAAGTTTAGTAAACTTATTAAACTATTATTATTATTTTTTAAAAAATAGTAATAATAAATAAATCGGTTATATTTAAATTGCAAAAATATTGTGTGAACTATAAAAAAAGCATAATATAATCAACTATTATGTGGTGAAAACTAAGAAAAATATTACTGTACAGTAAAAATTACAATTTCATTATATTAATACAATACAATTTACAGTGTCATTAGACACACACACACATACACACATTAGATAATATTATAAAAAAATATTTTATAATTATATTAATATACAGTATATAACACACATGACTATTCAAAAATTCATATTCAATATTATTGTAAAAATCGAAAATAATAAATAAATAAATATGTGATATAACTGTCCAACGATTTGTTGTTGTAGTAGTACTGTAGTAGTAGTTGTAGTAATGACTACCCGATGACGAAACAAATGTATTGTTAACTCGATTGAAGCGATTCCCGACCAGAACGTTGGCTAACCTTAAACAACATTTGCCGCAAATGAGTATTTTGTAATTTGAGATTATAGATCAAATCGGCCTGTTTTTCAAGTAAGTCCTCCAAATAGGATGACGGCCTATAAAGATAAAGAGAAAATTAGTATATGTTTAGAAACAACTGTTTCGTTGAAGACACAACAATACTGTGGTCAACACACACACACACACACACACACACACACACATATATATATATATATATATATATATATATATATCCTACATACCTGACACCGATCTCATTGAGTCCGGCCGATGTGACCAATCGTTGCGGATCTTCTACACAGAAAATATCGGGCGGATTACGATCGGTACGAAATCGGATCTCATGGTAAAACCATTTGATAAGAAACGGCATAACTATCAGCACCGATACGGTTACGATCAGCTGTTCAAAGTTTACGGGTTTCAATTGGATTTTATCCGATAGTTTAATGATGTCTTTCTGGCCAATATTGTACAATATGGCCGTCAGTATCAGTAGAGCAACATTGGATTTGTGTAATACAAACGCTGGTATGTGTGACAACCATCGGACCAGTTGATGGTGTTTATAGTAGCCTAAGATTCTCAGTCGTCGATAGTAGACATTACGCATATAATAACCAATAGATAGTGTCAATAGCCATACAATCAGATGCGACACTATTGTCAAAAAATATGAGTTCATAATCTTCTTGTTGTTGTCGCTGTAGTTGATCTTCATATCGCTTTTCGACAATACGGATGAATAGGTTTCAATTGTCAGGTCATTGATTGGTATCACAAAACTGGTCACAATTGTTGTTAACTAAATATGTATATAAATTATATTCAATTAAAAATAAAATAAAATAATTGTTATTATAATAGTTGTGTCACAAAAAACCAATAGATAGTCTTTAATGGAGATATCTATTTGGGTATCGATTTGAAGAAATTTATGAAGATATAGGTTTGGATCAGTTTGGGTGATAAAACACATTATAAAAGCTATACATAATCAATATATACTCAAGAAATTGTAATGACTATCAATTGATTAATCAATAACCAATTGATAATGATAATGAAATGGTAACCATGAAATCATCACCAGATATTGGATCAGATCAATGGTTATCAATCATTACAATCACTTACCAGAAGAAGAAACTGAAGGACAATCAAAGCCAAAGCCGTATTGTTATTGGTCTGACTGTACAGCGATTGCAAGTCATTATGATAGGGAAGTGTCAGTATCTGGAGGTCGTCATCCATGGCTCAGTAGATGATTATTATTATTGTTTAGTTGATCCAACAAATCGCTGATCATATCATACACACCACACACACTCTCGATGGACAAAATCAGACAAATTGATTGATTAATTCAATGATTAATTGATTGATTGATTGTTTGTATCGTTTTGTGCGACCAAACAAACAATAGATAGCAAAACAAAATGTTTGTTATTATTATTATTACTTATATATTGTGTTTATGTTATGTAATGTAATATTAATATAATATAGTATTTATTGATATTATTATTATTGTAATGAAAGTCAACGACTATTTTTGATGATCCAATCAAATGGTCTCTCAATTCATATGACAGTCACTGTTGTTGTTGTTGTTATAGCCTATAGATGTCGACACACGACTAGTATTAATAGTAGTCATGAATATAGTGGTCAACAGTTTTGTGTCAAATAATTATAATTATTTAAATGTAATTTAATTTAATAATAATTTTTGATTTAATAAACAACAAAAATTTTTGATGTGTTTTATATATGATTATCTCTCGTGTTTTTGTTTGTTTGTTTAAGCACTGGTATCCCTCATCCCAGTCCTCCCAAAGTAGTGCCTTATATATTCAGTGGTGTTGTATTGTTTCAGCGAAACCTAATCTATCTTTGACTACAAACTAATGACTTTTTTTAAGTTTTAAAAAGTTTGAAAGTTTTAAAAACAAGTTTTTTTTCGACAAAAAAAAATGTTTGGGTTTCAACCAACAACAACAACAACAAAAGTAAGCAAATTATTTATACTGTATTTTTTACTAATATTTATAATTTTTTTCGCTAACTAATGATAATAATCTGAGATAAACTGAAAATTTATTATATTTATAATTATTGTATTGTTTTTTTTGTTGGTTTATTAATTTGCCAATAGTATCGTTATATACATTATGTACAGTACATATGAAATATCATATGATTGATATTCCTATATTTAAAAAAAAAATCTAATTTATCATATTTAAAATTATTTTTAAATTATAACAATTTTTTAAAAAATTTTTGTTGGTTGATAATTTTTACACATTAAATAGTTAACAAATTAATTATATAAATAATTTTTTGATAATTAATTTTATATAGCTTATAGTAATATATAAATTACTTGTTTAATTATAAAATATTAATGTAGAAATATAGAAATGAAAGTAGCAGGGGCGGTTAAGCAAATTTTGGAAATTCACATTTTTATTGATATATTTTAATATATAATATAATTTTACACATATATATTAAATTTTATACCAATCGGATCAATATTTTTAAAGTTATTAAATAAAATAAATTTTCATTATAATGGGAGGTATACAAAAAAAGTCAAACTTTGAACCCCCAAAAAACACCCGTCCCTGGGATCAATTGTTATGAATTTTTTTTGTTGACATTATAATTATCAATAGATGTTTTTAGGAAAGTGTGGATCTGCTCCTCAAAAATAATCTTAAAATTATCAATAATTAAATTATTTATATTGAGACCGCCGGAAAGTTTAAAATTTATAAAAATTATTTTACATCACATGACAAATTAATTGACACAAAAATTAGTTTACAATATGTTTACAATATAGTTTACAACTGTACTCTATCAATAATTATTATCAAAATATAAATTGCAGATTTTATTAATTATTGTTTTAATAAAAATGATTTTTAATAACATAATATTATAATTTTTAAAATTATAATACTTATATATAAATTATTTTTTAAATTAGATTTTAATTGCACAAAGTTGAGCAACATTAAATTATTAAAAATCATTTTTATTAAAACAATAATTAATAAAATCAGTAATTTATATTTTGATAATAATTATTGATAGAGTACAGTTAAGTAACATATTGTAAACTAATTTTTGTGTCAATTAATTTGTCATGTGATGTAAAATAATTTTTATAAATTTTAAACTTTCCGGCGGTCTCAATATAAATAATTTAATTATTGATAATTTTAAGATTATTTTTGAGGAGCAGATCCACACTTTCCTAAAAACATCTATTGATAATTATAATGTCAACAAAAAAAATTCATAACAATTGATCCCAGGGACGGGTGTTTTTTGGGGGTTCAAAGTTTGACTTTTTTTGTATACCTCCCATTATAATGAAAATTTATTTTATTTAATAACTTTAAAAATATTGATCCGATTGGTATAAAATTTAATATATATGTGTAAAATTATATTATATATTAAAATATATCAATTAAAATATTAATTTCAAAAATTTCCTTAACCGCCCCTGCTACTTTATATTTAAAAAAAAATCATTACTAACTTATCTATAATTAATAAGTTTGCTTTTATTGAATTCAATCGAAACAATTATAATTATTAACGATAAGTTATACATTATTATAAAGTAACAAATGTGTAATAATTTTTTTTAGTTGATAATTAATTTTATAACAAAATTCAATTTTTGTTTTGTATGTGTAATACAATCAATTGCAGTGATAAAATATATTGATATAAATTAATATATATATATAGCTTATAAACGTGTGTAAGTGTATGTTAGATATGTTATACTAATACAATAGAAGGAACGGGTATTATCTCAGTTGAGTTATTGGGGGGGGGGGAGGAACTGTATGTATGAATTCATTTACCGTCGTCGGCACTGTTGACCCGACTCTGTATAAGTTTTGTCTTATCGTTTGTCGACGACGATTCACCGCCGCCGACGGTCACATCGGTAGTGGCCGTCTCCTGTATCCTTACGTGTTTCTTTTCGGGCGGCGGTTCGGCCACTATCTCGGGTATGGCCCCGACCTCTGATACGTCCTTATCTTTGCGTATCTGTGATTTGAGATCTTTGTTGGCATCCTTAAGCGAACCGACCATCGATATGAGATAATAGATAAACAATATCATTAGTAGTAGCAATGGAAATACGGCACCGGGCGATGTTAGATAGTCGACCACTTTGTTGATTGTGTCCGGTAATTTTGACTCAATATATTTGGTTAGTATGTGAAAGATTCGGGAATAGCCGCTGAAACCAATAATAATTATAATAAAATAATTGGTGGTTACCCGTAGGTGTGTCCTAATTATTAGGACAAGTTATTGTATATGAACAGTACCTAAATGGTCCGCAATGCCAACTGGGCTCTAACCAGACCACTGCATAGCCGACTGGCAAAGTGCACAGGAATAGCATGAGAAGCAATAGTCCAAAATAAAAATTGTTGCTCCGGGAGGCCTACAAATTACAAAACAAAAATGGATGAACAGGTTAGACAGACAATTAGTACAAATAGTTTTAAAAGCAGCTAACCATACCTTAAATACTGTTTCATGCGGTATATTACAGGTGATGACAGCCCACGATCTGATGTACATAATGATACACAACTTGATTGTGTTGATTGCCGGCAAACCGGGCGAAAAAAACATACCCATCCTTTTTTTTAAAAAAACAAAATTTACAAATTATTATGTACTAAATTATTGGGTAAAATATTGATATTTTTAGTCAGTCAGTACCATATCATTCCCTGATTGTTAACCAAATGCAATATATTTTCGGCAATCTTGAAATCGCCATAACCGGGAAATTTTTTTTCCAGATCCCAACAAATACAGGTGCAGTCATTGCAATATCTGTATTGATTGATGACCACAACAAACAATCAGCAAACAAAACTTATCGGTAATATATAGTGATAACTTTATGGTTAAAAATATATATACAAACCTAACAATAAGTGCACGAATAAAGTCACCGATTAGTATGGATATAACAGTCAATACAGTGTCCATTACGGTCAGTTTGACCAGTTCCTGGCCAAACATAGTTTCCCAGCAAAGTTTGCGTAGGCGTTCCTTATCGGTTTCATTTATTTGTACCAAATCGTCTTCACTAATATTATAATTGAATTTATTATCGCACGGCTTATCCAGATTCTGGCGAAACCACTCTAGCGATGGTCTTTCGCTGATTGTTGTTTCCGACGACCACGACGTATTGACACTGACCAGCGTACCGTTCCACTGGGACTCGGTTGTAATCGGTGTCGTCGTCATCGGTGTGGTCATCAATCTGGGCCGCTTTCTTGTTGGTCGCGGCCTTTGCGATGTCCGATGCGGTATCGGTGTTGTTGTTTCGGTTAGCATCCATGTATTGGTACGTTCAGTGGTCGTATAGATGGTAGTGTTGTTACCGCTGGTGCTGTTGTTTATATCTATGATGAACGTTGTAGTCGACTCGTAGTCCTGAAAGCCCCTGTCGTAGTCGTCTAAGTCTATCTGTGTCGAAGTAATGGCCTCAGTGGTCGTACTGTACCTGTATTCGTAAGGGTAGAACAGTTAGCATAAAATAAACAATTGATATAATAATAATTTATTTGACATATTAATGCTAACTAACTCTTCAATGCCATTACGACCCTCAATACGATTTGATCGCAGACTTTCCTTGATTGCCGCATAGGAGTACGGGTCGACTATTATGGATGGCGAGTGCAATGTACTGGTCATCTCCTCATTGGAGTAGTCATAGTCTAAATAATTGATGAATGGGTGGGGGAGGGTGAAGGTGGGGCAACAATTAGACAGTAGTTGCTATCAACTATGACTTGATATATATATATATATATACGGTACCCACCCGGTGCCAATACACGGCCGTCCCTTTTGAATCTAATGTGAGCGGTGGTCGAAATGGCTACAGTGTCCACCAAAAACTTAGTATACGTTATGTTAACTCTCATGTCTGTCAACTCAGCCGTCTATTAGTTAATATTAGTTAATATTATAAGTAATGTTATAGTTATAAATATATGGATAATATTGTCGATTATTAATTCATATTACTATTATTCATACTATTATATTTAACTGAAAATTAACTAAATATAAATATTTTATTTAATAATATTTTTTTAGGTAAATGTAATTTTATTTTTTTATTTTTTGAAAAATAAAAACATACCATTGAATTAACTTTTCCAAACAATGATAGCATCAATGTATACATGTTTATAAAGTTGAGCATCAATATTCTGGTATAATTAATTTAATTAATTAATTAGTTAACAATTTAATATATACTAACTATTTATAAAACTTTATAATGAATATTATTGTTTAAAAAATATTCAAATCATTTTTCATTAATTATTTTCTTTTTATATAATAATTGATTTATACAATTGATTGCTAATATATATTATTAATATGTTGTTGTATCAAAAATTGGATGAAATGTTTTTTGTTGTTGTGTAATTGAAATAAATTATATTAAAGATAGAAATAAAATAGATTTAAATCAATTGCCAACACATTTGCTATAAATAATAAAATAAAAAGTTTGTAATTTATTATTTTGAATCAATTATTGATTTTTTCTCAAACCATTTGGCGATAAAAACAATATAAAATAAAACATAAATAATAAAAAAAAATTCAATCATTTTATTGCTTATAAAAAAAGAGAGACACAAAAGTGGATGACTTTATAAAAAAGTCATACATTCATCACTTGTGAGTGCATTTTATATTAACTTTAGTATTGACACAAAAAATAAAGAGAGAGAGAGAGAGATAAAAGTAATATAATGTAGAGTAAGTTGTAATATACAGTAATTGTATGGGTTTTTTTTGTTGTTGATGGCACATACAGTATCTAAATATTGAATATTAAATATATATACTGTATATATAGGATACTACCCCATACCTGCCCAATTGCCAGCGCAGTGTTATCCTCGGATGGTATGCCTCCATATTACCGACCAAATCAAATATATTGGGAAAGACAATGCCTATGCCGGCGACTACTAGTGTCACTTCATTAGCCCTGAGCCACGAGGGATTGTCTATGGGTTCTTGAGATCTCTCGACCACCAGTACTACTCCATAAGCTGACGACGCCAACAGCATAAGCACACTATATATATAATAAATGGTATATTTAGTTTGGTTTTGTTGGTTAGGTTGTATTTGTATGGGATTTTAATAATACAATATGTGAGACAACAAAACAACAGCAGCCAAAAAAAATAAATAAAATAAGTTATTCATGAATTTCATTTCATTTGATTATATTTGCAGAAAGAAAGAAAGAAAGAGAGAGAGAGACTTGTTTTCCTAATATTATATTAAATATATTGATATATTGTATATACTGTATATATATATATAAAACTAATTCACAAAAGGTATTGCAGTTTTTGCAAATATTTATATTATTTTTTTGCAAATATTAGAATTACTAAAGTTATTTTTTGAGAGGAACGGTAGATCTAAATTTAGGTATGTGTTTGGTTGGTGTTGTTGTTGTGTTATTTGTTGAATATATTGTATATATATATATTCTGTTAAATTCTGTGTAGGTTTTCATATATATATATATAACTTACAGTATATTTGCGAGAACTCTGAGTGCAATTCGTTTCCAATTTCTTTCATCTTTTTTTCTTTCTTTTTCTTCAAGAATCGACTCTTTAAATCCCATAACAAGTGAAGCGACTTTATTATAAGCAGTTTCACTGTTGCCTATCATGTAATCCCAGCCTAACATCAATGAAAGATAGACAGACAAACAAACAAAACACATCTATTATGTAAAAAAAAGTTTTTTTGTAAATCTATAAAAATATATGCGAAACACACACACCACACACACACACACACACACACACATATATATATATATACACATATACACACACATACAGAGAGAGAGAGAGAGAGAGAGAGAGAGAGAGAGAGAGAGAGAGAGAGAGAGAGAGAGAGAGAGAGAGAGAGAGAGAGAGAGAGAGAGAGAGAGAGAGAGAGATAAAGTATATAAAAAAATTACATACTAAATGAAAATTTGAAAATTTATATTATTCAACAACAACAACATCAACAAAATCCTAATACACTAAATAACTATAAATAAATGTGAAAACATTAGATGTAATAATAATATCTTATATATATATAAATGAAATGTTAATAAATTAATAAATAAATTAAAATTACCGGTAAATAGTTTCCAACAGAAAGTACATTCGTCTTCCTTTGATGAGACGCGACTCATCCGAGCGTTTTGTGCCATTCTTTATGAAGAAGTTGTTGTTTGCAAGTGATAATTGGATCAAATTATAATAATAAAAGTTTTTTTTGTGTGTTATTAGTGGTAATTATCAATGAGTTATAATTGGTTTGTAAAAATTTGTTATAAAAAAGAGGAAAAAATTTAATTAAAATGTTTACTTTCGCAAAATACAGAAAAAGCTGAACATATAGAGACAAAATTGGGTGAGAAAGTAGGCCAGTGGTAGACGATAGCCTAACGGTGCCCATCAATACGGTAATAATAGGTAATATCAGTACATATATACAAATATTCATTTAGTTAGTCATAATATATTTGATATTTATTCAAATATAATAATTATTATTATTAGTATTTTTTAAAAAAATAGTAATAATAAATTAAGTTATATTTTTTTTAATTATTATTATTATTAAATACCTTCGCTAGTCATTTCACTTTTGCTATAATATCCATAAAATATTGGCGAAAATTTGAGATAACCCTTCAAAAAAATAAACAAAAAAAAAGAAAAGTTTAGTTAAACTTTGTTGTTGTTGTCATAAAATAACTTTTTCTTATTGTTCGGCGCTTTGCATATAATCCTCTGATGGATGACATCCAGAGGTGATGACAGCACCAGTACTACTACTACTACTAGTAGTAGTAGTAGTAGTAGTCATACAATACAGTAGGTTATACCTCAAAATCCCAAATGGCTTGCAGTTTGAGTGAGTCATCCTTATCCTTAACTTCTTTTCTCATACCAGTCAAGTCTGGATCACCTCTTAAGATCTGAATGTATAAGTAATATATGTTAATAATAATAATAAAAAACAGATACTATTGTTTAGGTGTTAATAATAATAATAGCAACAAAAAAAAGTTTGTTTTTCTCTTGAAGATAACTATCCTAATGGTTGGTGAAGTATACAGAAACTGATGGTTATGGTGGGGGGTCCGGGTCTTACCTCCGGAACCATTACAAAACAGCAGATGAAAACACTGATAAATATGTTGACCCAAAACACCCAACGAAGAAATATGAAATAAGAGGCGACACCTGAGCCGAAGTGACCTTTAAAACAAATATTATTTTTTTTATATGAATATATGTATAATAAACCAACAAAAAAAATATGAGAGATTTATATTGATAATAAAGATTTTTATTTTCTATGACTAAATATATACTACACTAATATATTAATCATTATTTGAAAAAAAGGTTTATATTTTAAAGAGATTTTTTATGTGTCTGTGTTTTGTTGTTGATATTGGTTTAATATGATAATAAAATGATAAGTAAAGTATTATTTTATTTTGTATTGTTTTTTGTTTTAAAGTTTAGTTTTAAAGAGTTTTTTTTGTATGATTATCATATCAACTAATGCATTGAATCTTTTGAATAATTTTTTTTCTTATTATAATATTATTTGCTTCTGTTTTTAAACAGTATATCAGTATATGTTTGTGTGTGTCTGTTATTTTGTTTAAATATATACACTTATGTGAAATATATATATAGTATATAAGTATATAAAATATATTTATATAAAAAAACTATTGAATTTACTCTCAATTTTCTTGATCCTCATCTCCCAGGGAGTGATAACAACTATAAGATTTGCAAATTCCCTTTTGAGTCGATTTATTGTCTGAAAAATACATATAAAAATATATATACACAGTATATATATATAAAATAAACAAAAAACAAGAGTATATATATAAAATATAGAGTAATAATATTTTCACTTTTATATATATATATCATATATAAGATAACAGTAATTGGTTTTTAGAGACGACTATGAATTATACAATATTATTATTACAATAGAAAATATTTATCTCATAAAACAATGTGAACTATAAATATGATATTTTATTTTAAATAAAAGTTTAAAAACTATTTTGTGTTATTTTATTTTTTATATTTTCATCCAAAATTTAACAAAAAAAAAATAACAAAACAAAAATAAAAGTTATGAATAAATAATAACAAAAAATAAACTGAGACTAAATAAGATTATAAATACTTAATATAAAATGTTTATATTTTGTTGTTGTTATCTATTATATATGAATAGTAATAGTAATAATAATTTTTTATTTTAAAAAAGTCATACTCTTTCAACATATGCTCGATATTTGGCTACCATATCCTTGGCCTGTTTGCTCTGTTTGAGGTCTCCCTCGTGTTTCTTAATATAACGTTTGGCCCGATTTAGTACCTGATTTATAGTAACAAAAACACAATTAATTAAAATATTTTGTAACCGTTTTAAAAATAGTTAATCTAAAACAAACAAATAAAAAATTGAATAATTTAAATTATATTAATTGTTTTTTTTTTTGAATATTATATATATATAAAATCAATACTTTTAATTTGCGATGCATTGGCCAGTGTTGTGATCGCATGTTTGTAATTATCTGTTTGTGGGCTCTGATAGTCTCCGAGATCTGCTCTTCAGTATACTCGTCGTCACCCATAGATAATGCCGTTTCTCTATAGATATATATGTAGATAATAGGGATATATATATATATATATTAAAATTTTTTGAAAACAATATAATATAAAATATTATACATTAATTTTAATCAATAAAATTTCAACAAAATCACTTAATGACTATAATTTTTATTTATTTGATGATTGATTTTTTAAAAATCTAAGAAACAAAACATTAAAAATAATTTTTAAAAAATCAATTAAATATTTAGCGAACCGAATGTAAAATTGAAACATTAATTTTTGTTAAGACATTTGAAAAAAGTTGTCATAAATATTAAAATCACAATAAAATTATATATATATATATATATAGATATTTCCTAAGTATTATAGTCAGTAATCAATACTTTTTTAAAACAAAATAACAAAAATCACAATAAAATGCATTAAAAATTTTAAAATAATAAATTTAATGTAATGTAAAACACTTGAGTATTAAAGAAAATAAAATAAACGATTGACTACTAACTCGTTTGAAGAGGTCGTACAAAACGATGACAATCTTCTGCCATCAAAAGCCATAACAATACTATCGTCTCCCATAAGAAAGGCGGTCGACCCTCGCCTCCCACCGCTACGCGAACCCCTACTCCTGGGCAATACAATAGGTTCGCTATCGGGTGGTACCAGCGATTGTCGTCTACCTTGCCTTTCATACGGTGTTTTTGTCGGTGTCTGGCTCTGGGATGTCGAGTCGGTCTCCTTTTTAGGCGACTCTTTAGGTGATTCCGATTTGTCACTCATTATTCTTTGTTGAAGTAATTAATTAACAAAAGTGTTATTATTATTATTATTAATTATAAATTATTAATAAACACTTTTGTATTTTTGTTTGGCTGCAAAGTGAACAAAACAATATTTTTGTTTAAAAACGGAGATAATTAAAAAATTAATTCATAAAATATTAATTTTTTTAGTTGAAAACATTAACACACAAAAAAAATTTATAACTAATAGGAAAATATTGTTATTATTATATAACAATTTGTCCACAGAATAGACTATCAAAACATTTTATGACAAATATTAATAAACCCAAAAACGATATGACAATTGATAGGCTAAACCACCAAAATTCATGATCAATAGATTTGATATTAAATTAAAATAATAATAGTATTGAAATGTGCAAATGTTTTTTTTGACTGCATATTACTTAAGCAAATTTCTAGTGAATAATAATAATAATTCCTGTTATTACATAAATATATATATACAGTATATTGATATTATTAGGAAAAAAATATATGGTTTCAAACAAAGCAAAATATATATATAAAATTATATACAGAATTTGTTGGCAATTCTGTGGATCAGAAAACTACATATAAAAACACAGTATTTTAATGGTCTCTCTCTCTCTCTCTCTCTCTCTCTCTCTCTCTCTCTCTCTCTCTCTCTATCTCTCTCTATCCTTTAAATGGGTGGAGTAGTGATGAAAACAAGTTTTAATGTCTACTATATTTTTTTTATTATTATATTATATTATATTGTCTCTCACTCTTAAAGACAGGTCATAATGCCTACGCCCTAATCGATTGGTGTTTATATCATATATACTGTATATATATGTGTATATATATTCAATATATTGACTAATTTTGTTGTCTTGTTTTTTAATGGTAAATATTTTGCTTGATTAGTCAAATTAGTTGAGTAAACTATTAAATATCTGTACCGGTATTATGTCAGAGAAATTGTCTTATATTACATAAGATTTTTTTATAATGTTATATAATTATGTTATTTTTCAGATACAGTTATTAAGAATATTCTACATTATATTGTTTTTATGTATCTATCATTATATATATTATATATATATATATCTGTATCTCATATTTCATGCTATAACTCATATTATATAAAAAAATATTATGAAAATGTTTCAATTAATTTCATTTTTATTTTTTATGAAAAAAATAATGTTGTTTGTTTAAATCAAATAATAATAATAATACACTTAACAAAATGTTTTAGCTTATCTAACTTGTTAGATATGTCTAACCTAACCTAAGCTAAGTTTATTTATGTATAGTAATAAAAAAATGTTAATAAAAAAATTATTTGATAAATAATTGCCGATTATGTAGAGATGGCGCTATATTTTGTATAAATAATTTTATAGATAAACTGTAAAATCAAAAAACTGTATGAAAATTATAACAAATAATACAGAATTATATATAAATATATATATATATATATGAGATATTTGCTCAACAATTGCTTATTTATTGACCAAAAAAATATTTATCAATTTTTAATATCAAAAAAAAATCTAAATATATTATGAAATTTATTTTACGTACGACTTGTTTGAACTAATAATAAATTTCCTGATTATTTGTGATTATTACTTGAATAAAAAAATTTGCATCAAATTAAATCAAAACATCATTGTTTAATAATAATTTATTTATAAGCTATTTTTGTCAATAAAATAGCTTATACTGTATTACAAATCTGTTTAATCATTTATTTGCTATCATTTTATTATTATTATTTCTTTTTATATAATACAGTATATATATATATACTGTACAATGTATCACTTTTGTTAAATGCATTCAATCAAAATTAACATAAAATGATAGCAAAAACTCTATACATACTATACTGTATAGTCTATACATACATATATATAATATATATATATTTAGTGTAATGTATTATACAATACAAGTCTCGACTTTGATTGTGTAAAGCAATAGCTTGTAATGCAAATGAATGAATAATGAGTTTTGCGCTACAAATGGATAATCAAATCAATGTTTTTGCTATTAAAAGCACTTTTGATTTAAAGAGTCATCTAATAGATAGTCAGTTACTACAACAACTACTACTACTACTACTACTACTACTACTACTACTACTACTACTACTACTACTACTACTACTACTACTAATACTAATACTAATACTCTTTCATTAAATTAATTAGATTTTAATTAAAAAGTTGAAATTGTTTTCCGATTTGAGGCCCGGAATATCTAATTAGAGAAACATATATATATATATAATATAATATGCAATATATAATATATTAGACATCAGTACAAATCAATTAAATATTATTATAATTGTACAATAAACTACAGTATTATATATATATATATTAAATTTAATTTCTATTGTCGTAAATGTAAATTAATACAGTAATCTACACAAAAAAAAATGTTGACCACAAAATTCAATTGATGACTACAGTATTGAAACACTTGCTATGAATTACAAAATAATTTATATTATATATTAATATATATATATATATATATTATTAATATATATATATTATTAATATATATAACAATAACTTATAATCAGTTTAGTCTCTCTCTCTCTCTCTCTCTCTCTCTCTCTCTCTCTCTCTCTCTCTCTCTCTCTTTCTCTCTAAATATTTTGTATAATATTTATGAATATGTCTTTCACATTATGTATGTATGCTATCATATATTGTTTTTAAAAAGTTATGGATTTTATTATTATTTTTTTCCATATGTATAGTGTTTTACATATTTTTACATATCGTTTATCATATAAATACTGTATATAACACAGAGTTTATGGTTACACCACATAACAGAAATATTTCGCATTTTGATACAATATTTGATACCGTTTTTACTATCATATGATAGATAATTTTAATGAGAAATATTAAAAATATTTTTAATTTATAAACCTTTTAAATACAGGAGTGTGTGTTGAAAATAAATTTTTGTTTTAAAAAAAGACACACTGTTTTTGACAATATTTCAATTAATATTTAACTATTTATGCAAAAATTATTTAATAATAAATTACTTATATATATATTTAAGTATAGCCCACTGGATATTTAATTAGCAAAATTATGCAATTTTAATATACAGTTTTTTATAGACTGTATAAATCATATCTCATAATAGTTATAATTTATATTTTTAAATTAACATTTAACTCTATATATATATAGATATATATATTAAATAATATATTTTCGGATGCGATAATTATTTATATAAGATTATCTATATTTAGTACTATTTATTAGCATATATATATATATATAATATATAGAGAGTATATATGACTATCTTTTAATGAATCAAAAAAATAATAATAATATTTTGATAGAGAATGAGAGAGTAAACTATTTTATCATCAAAAATGAATTCAATTAATTTACACTAAAAATAGTTTTCATTCAAATTATTTCTTAAGTTCTTATATTTGAATAATATATATAATACTTTGAAAAATATTTAATTTAAACAGAAAAATGCATATCAAATAAAAATATTATTCATATCTAATCACATGAAAATAAAACGTCAGACAACACACACACACATAGAGAGAAAAATACTTATTATAAAAGTGAAGACAAACCTTAACGTGAATTGCATTTTATGACATTTTTTTACTTTAGTCGGCTCTCTCTCTCTCTCTCTCTCTCTCTCTCTCTCTCTCTCTCTCTTTTACTCATCAAAAATGATATACTCTTTTTTTAGAGTTCATAATTAAATATATAAACTTATATATATATATATATATATATATACTTAAAGTCTATTTCCTTAAAGCCTATCATCTCATTTGCGTTTTTTCATGTGATTAGGCATTCAATTAAGTCCTCTCTCTCTCTCCTAATGTAGAGAAGCGATATTAATATAATATTATATATATGTATATAACATGAATATAATTTTTATGCTAAAAGTTAATATTTAGTAAAACGAGATGTCATATAATATTAATAAATATTATATAATAATAATAATATAAAAATAATATTATTATCATCATCTTACTGTCTATATATATATATATTTATAAACGACTAGTTTTAACGGCAAAATATTTTTTTTGTTAACAATAAAATAATGTATAGTCAATGAAAAAAAATATCATACAATACTCTCTGTATGTAATAGTGTTTGACTCGACATTTGCTAAAAGTGAAAATAAATGGTTTGAAAATACATATATAAAGTTTTGAACGATATATATATATATATTATATATATAAATGCAATACCTGATAGATACGGTATGTGTATGTTTGTATAAAAGAGAGGATCGGTAGCATTAAAATTGATTGCTATGACCAGTATATATATATATATATTGATGATATATAAACTAAGATATAAACTTATATACCGGTATTATATATATATATATAGTATAGTAAGTTATTTTGACTTTATAGGCAATATCGATGATTGAAAGAGTCATAAAATGTATTGGACCTCTGAATGAGCTACTAATGCATAGTTATATTGCAAATAACTATAGTGTGTGTGTGTGTAAATTGAGTTCAATACTACATTATATTATATTATTATTTATTTTATCATATATTATAAGTATTTTAAACTTCCTATCAAATAAAGGTTTACAAAATTGCATAACTAAACACATACAGTATACTGTGTGTGTATGTGTTAGGCTTAGGCATCGCTTAAAGTTATATACGTTAATATAAACCTAATATCTATATATGATATCAATGGCCTGTAATTTCAAAGGCAAACCAATGTTAAGTATTTTTTTAATGTCCTGTTTGAAACTAATATTCAATATATACTATAGAGACTGTACTATCAGTTTACTCATTGCAATGTCATTAATCATAGTGTTTGTCAACGTGTTTGTGTGTTGTTAGCCTAAAAACCTAACTGTGCTCAGCTAAACATATAGAGTTGGCTATGAGTACATCCAAATTATTATTGCATCCTAACTATTTTTCCCCAAAT